TGCCAGTGACAAAAAGGAAATACAACTGACAGCTAAGGAAGCAGAGGAGGATGGAGCCTCTGGGTTCAACCAGCCATCCCCACTGGACCCACCTGGGAAAACACTTTGCAGTCCAGAGGTGAGCAAACAACAGGAAAATATCTTCTAACAGAGCAAGAAGGCAAGCAGCTTCAACCCAAGGCCACCAGTAAGAAGATAAAGTATCCTCCCTTCCCCCCTTTACATCAACGCCCCTGTTCAGCATGAAGAAGCCAGAGAGTTGGCATCTAATTCCCAAATCAATAAGACAGTTGGTTTAATTACCATTGGAAAATGCTTGTCATTCCTCTGTACCTCATCATTTCCTTCACCTGCTCCCCCCACCGACCAAACTGTGCAGCTCTGCAGCTGCATCCTGGCCCATCCTCACCCTTCTGCCCCCAACCCTCACCTCCTTGTACCCCCAATATGTTTATCCCAATTAAAAAAAAAGTATTAAAAAAAAAAGAAAATTGGAAGCTGTCAAAAAGGGACTAAAACACATAAAGACGGACATCCTAGGAATTCATGAGCCAAGATGAATTGGTAGTGGTCATTATGAGTCAATCACGAGATATACAATGCTGGGAATGACAAATTGAAAAGAAGTGGCGCAGGGAGCTCTGTTGGCCTAGTGGCAAGAAGCTGCACTGCAATCCCAGAGGTACACGGTTCAAATCCACCAGATGCTCTGCTGGAGAAGGAGGGACAATCTCCTCCTGTACCAGTCAGATCCGATTTGATGGCACACACACACACACATAGTAAAATAAAAAAGGGGGGGGGGAAGAAAAAAGGAGAAGTGGTACATTCATTCTCAAAAAGAAAATGTAAAGATTTATGTTGAAGTATAATGTGAGTGATGTTAACCATACCTATAAAATGAAGACCTATTAATGCAATTATTCTTCAAATATGCACAACCACCACAGAAGCCAAAATATGAAGAAACTGTAGATTTCTACCAGCTTTTACATCTAAAATGGACTGATCATGTAACCAAGATGCATTAATAGTAACTGATGAATAAAACACCAAAGTTGGAAACAAAGGAAGTGAGTGATAAAATACTACCTGTATAAGTGTCCAGGTCTTTCGTTTATAGGATCACTATGAGTAGCCTACAACTTGATGGCACTTAACAATAACAACAGCATAGAAAGAGAGAGATCAGTTGGCCTAGTGGACAGAAAGTGATGCTCCCAAGCCAAAGGTGGGTGACTTTAATTTGTGGCCCTCAGGCCTGTTTTTAATTTCTGTTGGTCAAGCATTCTTCTAGGTTGTATAGCCCTCATCTGTCCACTTGCTGTACAGAGGGAACTCATGATTGCTGTGAAGCTGAACACCATGACACTGATGTGTCAAATGTGATAATGGTTACTCATGGTGGACAGTGTTTGGTGGAGCTCCCCAGTTAAAACAAGCTTGGAAGAAGGAGTGGCATCCACTTCCGTAAATAGCTTGCCTCCAGAAACTCTAAGAACTTGGAGAAAAGATGAAAGTTATACAAGTGTCCAGGTCTTTAGTTCATAGGGTCGCTATGAGTCGCCTACGACTTGACGGCATTTAACAACATACATATACAAATAAGATTTTTAATACAACTGTTATTAAAATATATGCACTAACAACTAAGCACGATAAATTGTTCGGAGATTCCCATTCTTCTCAGGGTTAGCCAGTTTGTTGTGATACACACAGTCAAACGCCTTTGCATAGTCAATGAAACACAGATCGACATTCCTCTGGTACTCTGCTTTCAGCCAAGATCCATCTAACATTAGCTATACTATCCCTCATACCATGGCCAATTCTAAATCCAGACTGCACTTCTGGAAGTTCTCTGTTGATGTGCTGTTTGAGTTGTTTTTGGATAATTTTCAGCAGAATCTTGCCTGCATGTGGTATTAATGATATTGTTCTATAATTTCTGCACTCTGTCGGATCACCTTTCTTTGGAATGGGAACAAAAACAGATCTGTTCCAGTCAATTGGCCAGGTGATTGTTTTCCGGATTTCTTGGCACAATTTGGTGGGCACATTCAGGTCAGTGTCTGTTGAAATATGTCAACTGGTATGCCATCAATTCCTGGGGCCTTATTTTTTGTCAAGTCTTTCAGAGCAGCTTGAATTTACGCAAAACTTATACTTGGACCAGGAGGCAAGTCATCAGATCAGAGCAAGGAAACACTACATGTTTCAAAATTGGGAAGGTTGTACACCAGAGATGTGTCCTATATCCATACCTTTTCAATCTATGTGCAGGACAGATTATCCAGGAGACTGAGCTCTGAGGAGAAATGTGGCATCAGGATTGGTGGAAGATCCATCAACAATCTGCATTATGCAACTGACACAACCCTGCTTGCTAAAACTGAGGAGGATCTGAAGTGCTTGCTGCAGAAGGTCAAGGACTGTAGCCTTTAATATGGATTGAGGCTCAATATCAAGAAAACAAAGATTCTCACCACTGAGCCGACTGGCAGCATCACAATAGATGGTGAAGAGACTGAGATTGTTAACAGCTTTAGTTTGCATGGCTCCAGAATAAACACTCTTGGTACTAGTAGCCAGGAAATTAAAAGACTAATTGAATTGGGAAAGTCTGTTGTCAGAGATCTATCCAAAGTACTGAAGAGCAATGATGTCAGTCCAGAGACTAAGGTGCACCTGATGCAGGCCATAGTCTTTGTTATTACTATGCATCAGAGAGCTGGACAGTGACTAGGGATGACAGAAGGTGAGTTGATGCCTTTGAGCTGTGGTGTTCTAGAAAAATATTGAATATACCATGGACTGCTAGGAGAACAAACAGGTTTGTTCCAGAGAGGGTAAAACCAGGCTGCTTGTTGGAAGCAAGGATTCTGAAGGATTCTGATATCTGACATACTTTGGATATGTTGCAAGGAGAGAGATGTCATGCTTGGGAAGGTGGAGGGACAGCGCAAGAGAGGAAGACCCTCAATGTGATGTATTGAGTATTGATTCAATCACTGGGGTAATGGGGGTAGGTGTGTCAGACACAATAAGATCGGCACAGGATAGAGCAGGGTTTAGGGCTGTTGTACATAGGGTCGCAATGAGTTGCAGGTGACTCAACAGCACAAAACAACAAAAACAACTAAGGTCAAAGATGAGGAAATTGAGGAATTCTATTAACTTTTGCAGTTTGAAATTGAATAAGTATGCAATCAAGACGCATTAATGATAAATGCTGATTGGCTACAAAAGCTGGAAACAAATAGTCATCAGAAACTATAGACTTGGTGACCAAAACGAAGCTGGAGAGCGAATGACATTTTTGTACATTCAGTGATCTATTCACTGCAAATACATTATTAAAGAAACACAAATGGCAATTATATACATGGACCTCACCTGACAAACTGCACATAAACCAAACTGACTACATCTGGATAAAGAATCGGTGGAGCAGCTCAGTATCAGTCAAAACCAGGTTAGGTACTGACTGTAGAACAGACTGTCAATTATTCATGTGCAGGTTCAAGTTGGGGCTGAAGGAAATTAATACAAGCCCTCAAGAATCATAGGTCTATCCCACCTGAATTTAAAACTCATCTCAAGAACAGGTTTGCAACACTGGACTCTTACGTTTGAAAACCAGATGAGTTGTGGATAAGAACTAGCAGAGGGGAACTGGAGCAATAGATCACCCCAATCCACATGCTGTCTATTTTGGTGTAATCATTTGGGTGTGTGAAGCTAAAGCAAAGCCGACTCAGGCAACAGCTCATCCAGCTGCTCCCCAGGTAACAGGAAAGGAGCAGCCTTATACGTGTTGTGGGGGAGGAGTCGGAGAAACTCCAAGTCCAGTGGATCAAAGGCATCAGAATATTACCCGACACCTGCTTGCTACCCACACTTTTCCTCACTCAATCTGGGTCAGTGCTGGAGGAATGGCAGAGACCAGCTGTACCTTTCTGGAAAATGAAACACACCTTCCATTTCTTTAGGTAAGCCAGACTATGCTGCTTAGAATTACCTGGGCGTTATACACCTTTGAATTTGGCACAGAAAAAAAAGAAAATCAAGTAGGCAAACTCAATCAACAGCTGAGGATGAGCTCTGTGATCTTTCAGATCCCCTCACTACCATGCACATCTACTTGCAAAATTCACAAAATCAAATCACGAGCGCACACGAACATATCTGGAGATTTTTTTTCTCCAAAATATACCGGGCAAGCATTGGTCCAGCCTCTTGGACCATTACAGGACGCCCTCCAGGCCTGCCCTGCCTCAGGCTCACCTCGGAGGAGGCGATCCCGACCTTCTCCGGCCTCTTGGACCATTACAGGACGCCCTCCAGGCCTGCCCTGCCTCAGGCTCACGTCGGAGGAGGCGATCCCGACCTTCTCCGGCCTCTTGGACCATTACAGGACGCCCTCCAGGCCTGCCCTGCCTCAGGCTCACGTCGGAGGAGGCGATCCCGACCTTCTCCGACCTCTTGGACCATTACAGGACGCCCTCCAGGCCTGCCCTGCCTCAGGCTCACCTCGGAGGAGGCGATCCCGACCTTCTCCGACTCGTACATGAGGGATAGGGACCTGTTGGTGCTAGAGGTCGCAGCCTCGGCGCGGCGCAGCACCTCCTGCCGCAGGCTTTGCTGTCGGTCTGCGGGCGCGCCGGGTCCACCTGGAAGATCACGGCCTGCCTGGCTGCCCTCATCCTCGGCATCATCGTCGAACGGGTTGTAGCTTTTGGGGTAGGCTGACATAGTGCTGGCGTTGGTCCGAGAGCCTGGCCACTGTCATAAGTCCACCGCACGCAGGTCTCGGCCGCCGAACTGAGCTCCTTCCGGGATGCGCGCGCGCAGGCGCGGTAATGATCCAGGAGTCGAGCAAGTGCCTAAAGACGAGAGGGGGAAGCCACCGCGGGCTCTACCCACAACCCGCGCAGTGGACTCGCCCGAGCCGAAGCCCCACCCACTGCCTGCAACTGCGGTGACGTGGTGTGTGGCCGGCTGTGCCTGCGCCTGCGCTGGTCGGACCATTGCGGTGGCTGCTGCGCTGCGGGACGCCGATTGATGATGGCGGCGGCCGGCACCCGGGGAGGTAGCGGCGGCGGAGGCAGTGGCTCCGGTTCTGGTTCCAGCAGCGGCGCCTCGCGGGGCTTCTACTTTAACACGGTCCTATCATTGGCCCGCTCCCTGGCTGTGCAGAGACCGGCATCCTTGGAGAAGGTAGTAGTAGCCTTGTCCTGAGGGCTGATAGAGGGGCCCGGGCGGCTCCGCCGGGAAGCGGGCGGGGGTCTGTAGGCGGTGGTCACGAGCTTTCTGTGAAGGGCAGGGGGACACCCTGGAGGTGCTGAAGGCGCCTGGAAGGGTCAGGGAGGCCCGAGGCCAAGGACGAGCGGGCGGGGATTTGTCACCAGGCCCCTTATTACATCTCCGGGCGGAGGCCGGAACACGGCGGCGGCGGTGGTGAACCGAGGCTTCAGGGTTCAGAACTCTCCGCTTCCTGGAGTCCGGCCGTGTATTGTTCGGTGACCTTGGGGAGGTGGGGGATGCTTTCGTCTGCTTTGCTCGTGTAACGGGACTGTCCAGAAGGAACAGATGAGATCTTGTGTCAAAGCCCTTTCTGGACACGAACTGGCGGCTGATGAGGGTTGGAGACCTGAGCATTTGAATCAGGAGCTGTGAGCTAGCTGTTGGTGGACTGATGGTTGCTTCAGAGGAGAAAGGAAACCTTGCTGGAGAAGCAGCTTGTATCCTGAGAGGTGAAAAACATTTAAGAGATGTGACATGGGAGGGTGGAAAGAACATACATTTTTAGGGTCGATCGTGGGTGAACAGTGCCTTAAACCTGTTTTTAAGATGATTTTTTAAAATATTTTAATTTATTTATTTTTCATTTCAATGAACATCTGCAGAGATTTTGGAATTCCATTCATTCATTGTTGCACCCTTCTCCCCGCCCCCCCCCCCCCCCCCCCCCCCCCCCCCCGTTTGCTCCTCTCCCTGAAAAGCAAAAGAAAAACTCCCTCATTGGTACACAATCCCCCCCGCACCTCCCCCAATCCCACCCCCAACCCCAAATATAATCCACTCTGCAACCCTCATTGCGTACTCCTACGATAAACATAATGCCCTAAAATATAATACTTTTAAACTATTCTCTCCCCCATAGACTTCAATGCCGTAAACATATTTCGTCCAGTTTTTCTCGGCCTTACCCCCACCCCGATGCCAGCCTCATTCTACAACACTGGCATCATATAGCATTTGTCCCTTTGTGACTGAGATATCTCACTCAGCATAATGTCCTCCAGGGTCACCCGTTTTGAATAATATTGCATGAGTTCCTTGTTTTTCAATGCAGCATAGTATTCCATTGTGTGGATATACCACAGCTTCTCTACCCATTCGTTTGTTGATGGGCATTTAGGTTGTTTCCAACTCCTTGCTATTGTAAATAAAGCCGCGATAAACATGGGTATGCATATATCTACTAGGATGTCATTTATGGTCTCTTTAGGGTATATTCCCAGTAGTGGAATTGCTGGGTCAAATGGTATCTCTATTTGCAACTTTTTGAGAAAGCGCCACATCGCTTTCCACAGTGGTTGCACCATTTTACACTCCCACCAACAGTGAATAAGGGTTCCAGTCTCTCCACAACCTCGCCAGCATTTGTTGCTTGCTGTTCTGTTAAATTTTGCTAGTCTTACTGGAGTGAGATGATATCTCATGGTTGTCTTGATTTGCATCTCTCTCAGGGCTAGGGATTTTGAACATTTATTCATGTGCTTGTTGGCCATCTGAATGTCTTCCTTGGTGAAGTGTCTGTTCATATCCTGTGCCCATTTTTCAATTGGATTATTCACCTTTATCTTGTTGTGGTGCTCAAGTATTTTATAAATTTTAGATATAAGTCCCTTATCTGACATGTCATTACCAAACACTTTTTCCCAGTCTGTGGCTTCCCTTTTTACCCTGTTAGAAAAGTTTCTGGATGCGCATAGGGATTTGATTCTTAGAAGGTCCCATTCATCTATTTTATCTTCTCCTGGTTGTAAAGTTTTCAGAACACAGGGAAGACTCTTTATGTTGTGGATTAGGACTACTAAAGTTTTTCCAAGCTTAAAAATATGGAACGCTTCACGAATTTGCTTGTCATCCTTGCACAGGGGCCATGCTAATCTTCTCTGTATCGTTCCAATTTTAGTATATGTGCTGCCGAAACGAGCACCAAGATGATTTTTTAATTGAGGTGGAATAGACTCAAGGTCCTGTTTTGGTTCTTGTGCATTTGGTTTCATCTTTTTCCTTTTCAGTTTGAACTTGCACATGAGCAATTGATGGTCTCTTCAGTAATCAGCACCTGGCCTGATTTTGATCACTGATAATGAGCTTCTAGAATGATGTTTCCCACAGATGGTAGTCAGTATGATTTATGGGCATTCTGTCAGGTGAGGTCCATGTGTAAAGTCACCTTTGTGTTTCTTAAAAAAAATTAGCCATTATGAATAGATCATTGTATGTCCAAAATTCAGCCATTCCTTCTCCAGCCTCATTGACCACATGGCAACTCACAACAACAGTAACAGTGTTTTCACCTACCGCCTGTGGAAGTCACTTACTACTTGGACAAGTTACTTCATTTCTGAGCCTCTGCTTCATTTAGCAAGATGAGCTTGTTCTTAGGGCTTAAATGCGTTTAAGTATAAAGCATATCACACGACAAGGCATAGGATAGGTAGGTGATGTGCAGTAAAACTCGAGTGTCTCTCCGTGCCAGTCTGTGATGAGACTCATGACTGTGTGCTAGCCTGAAGGAATGAGATTAATTTTCCACATAGCTTTCTAGCAGGTGGAAAGAGGAGACTCTGACAGCAGAGCAGTTGAGAATGGTTTTGTAGCTTCGGCGATGGAGTAAAGGCCATTGTAGCCAGGTTGACAAAGCAGTTTAGTCCACAACAGCTTACGTTTTGAGACTTGATATTGTCACCTTTAGGGCAATACCATATTGACTTCTAATTAAAGAAGGAGGAAAATGAAAAAAAAAACAAAACAAAACTCCAAAACATGCTTTTTAGAGAGAATACCATTGGAATTTAAATCCTGTAATTTTGGCTTAAAGGAACACTGGACACCCAGATATTAAGAAATCATTGTTGTTGTTAGGTGCCATTAGAGTCAAGTATGACTCATAGTGACCCTGTGAACAACAGACCTGAACTCTGCCCTATCCTGTGCCAACCTCACAATCTCTGGCACGCTCTAGCCCATTGTTGCAGTCACTATGACATTCCATTTGGCTGAGTGTCTTCCTCTCCTTTGCCATCCTCCCACCTTTCCAAGCTTGATGTCCTTAACATACACAAAGTATGTGAAAGGAAGCTTCGCTGTCCTTGCCTCCAAGGGGCACTCTGGCTGTACCTTCTCCGAGACATACTCTTCTCCATCACCACAGTTCAAAGGCATCAGTATTTTATCTGTCGTACTTAATCAAAGTCCAGCTTTCAGCAGCATAGCAAGTGACTGAATAGATCTTGGTCTGAATCAGGTACACCTTAATTCTCAAGCATTCATAGTTAAGGTTCAAGATTCAAATTAGCAGCTACTCTGTGGGAGAAAGATGTGGCAGCCCATTTCCTAAAAGATTAGAGCTTTGAAAACCTTTGGAGGCAACTCTACCTTGTCCTCTAGGATCTTAGTGAATCAGAATAGATACAGTTGGTAGGCTATAGCACATTAGTCAGTGTGGCTTTTTCTAGTTATTGGCTTTGTAACTTTTACCATATACAGAAGGGCCATGCAGATAGGATGTGTAGAATGTTAATATGAGGGTTAGTCTGGCATGTTGCAAAGTGACTGGTCCTTGGAGAGGGACATCATGTTTGGCAGAGTGGAGGGACAGCACAGGAGAGAAAAACTCTTTATGAGATGGATTGATTCTGTGACTGGAGTGGTGGGAATGAGTGCGTTTGAGATGTCTAGGTTGGCACAGGATAGAACAGCATCTCTTGTTCATAGGGTTGCTATGAGTCACAAGCAACTCGATGGCACGTAACAGCAACAGCACCACCCTACAAGACTTAATTTAAGTTGAGCAGGTTCAGAGATAGAAAACAGGGATCCAGGGATCTCACTACTATTAAGAAGAAAGAATCAGAGAGTGCACCACGTCCTTTGACCAAAGGTCTCAGCAGGCCACAGGAAAGGAGAGCTGTGGTACTAGAGACCAAGACGTGGTAGCCCAGGTGGCAGGCCAGATGGTGGCAGTGGTGGAAACACCAGAGACTAGAGTAAAACAGAGTTAAGTCAACTAGAGTAAAGCAGATTTAAGTCACCTGTCCCATAGAGCTAGAGTCAAGTGCCTTCAAGCCTAGGCCTACTGGCAGAGCAGGCAGTGCATAATTGGCAAAGATGAATTTTGACATATTTGTCTGAGCAGGGCAGAGGCCAGAGCCTCTAGGCTGGAGGTTAGAGTGTCCTGTAGATGAGCACACCTGAGAAGAGGATGTTCTGATTGAAGACTTGTATCCTGAGCCTTTTGAACCAGAATTGTAATCTGTTACTTCCCTAATAAACCCCAAATTGTTACTAATGTTTGTGAATTTTGTGTGGTTATTTGCAATGAATTATTGAACCAAGCAGAGAAGCAGTGAATGCCATGGGAGAGACGGTTAAGGTTAGAACTAGTAGAGGAAACTGTGGGGACATGTATTTGTATGGAGACGTTACGGAGCACGGAGCATCACATTGGAAATTGGCTTTGTGCTTTTCTGTTGATGTAGAGTCTTCCTCTGTGAAGTTCACAGAGGTTAGACAGTGCTCCCATCCACACTCAGTACACTATTTCCAAATGACAATGTATGTGGTTTATTTTAAGGAGCCCTAGTGGCACAGCAGTTGAGCACTTGTCTACTAACCAAAATGTTGCCAGTGATTTCATGAGCAGAAAGAACATGGTGATTTGCTCCTGTAACAATGTCACCAGTTCCTATGGAGCAATTCTGCTCTGTCCTTCAGTGTCATAATAAGTACGAATCAACTCAGGAGTACACAGAACTATTCTTACTTATTAGTATGACTTTGGGAAGGTCATCTCCCCCTCTGTTTCTTTGTCTAGCAACAGAAATAGTACTTGGTAGCATTGGAATATCTATCAATGAAATGGCATGAATGAAAGTGCATGCATTGTTTACTAATAAACTACCAGTGTTTGGAGTCCCTGT